ATGTTTCTTAAAACCAATAGTTTTTGCTGTAATATTTTTATATAAATGGAAAGCAAATGACACTTGTCTCCTCCCTTTATTGCTGATCCAAAAAATGGTTTGATGCGTTACACCACTACTATTATTAGTATTTAGCTTAAAATGCAACTTAAAGGCTTAACTAGGTTATGTTAACTAGGTAAGTTAAGATATTAGAGTAAGTTATTGGATAACAGTGGTTTGTTCAGTAGCCAGGGAAAAAAAAAAAATAAAACATTTTTAAGGGGGTTAAAAATGAGCTCTGTGTGTGTGTGTGTGTGTGTGTGTGTGTGTGTGTGTGTGTGTGTGTGTGTGCGTGCGTGTGTGTGTGTGTGTGTGTGTGTGTGTGTGTGTGTGTGTGTGTGTGTTTAGTTCTTTAATCTTTATATATAGTGTGTGTGTGTGTGTGTGTGTGTGTGTGTGTGTGTGTGTGTGTGTGTGTGTGTGTGTGTGAATGTATGTATGTATGTATGTGTATATATATATATATATATATATATATATATATATATATATATATACACATATCAGGAAACATACAATATTTAAAATAAAAAATGTAATGTTTAAAAAATTTGTTAAAATATGTACTTCGTAGTCACACAAGGTCATAAATATAGCAATGTTATAACTTTAATCAATAGATATTTATATGCCTGTGAATATATGTACATAGATGTATATCATGAATAAGTACATACATTTTTGTGTTTTATTTATTTATAGCTGGGAAATAAATGGCATTTGAGTACCAGGTAAATGCGGAGGGGGGGTTGAAAGGGAAATATTTGAAGTCAGCTTTCTTCGACCCAACCTCCACCTGTGGTTCTTTTTCGAGCTCTGCGGTTTCATTATCTTGCTTTTGCAAGAAGCCCACACATGCTTATAGTCAAGACTAGAGACTTCACATCACATCTATTAACCTTTGGTGATTGTACAGAACTCTATGAAAGATCTTTGAACAGTTGTAGATAATGCAGGAAATATTTCAGTAGTGTTTGTTAGTACATATATGACTTCATCTCAAACATGTTTTTGTCAACCTTTTTGTTGTTGTTCTGGTGTATTTTAAATAGTTTTTATTTTTTTAATATATACTCTGTACAATTAAGTGGCTGAAAGTTCATTTCCAGTCCAGTGTCATTTAAAAATACAGTGTTGTCATTTCCTTTTCTTCATTTCAATACATAAAGATTAATTGATAAGATTAAACAATGTCAGTGTTGCCTTGTTTTGCTGACAAAAATACAATATTTAAAAATTTTTTTGAAAAACATACTATACTGTAGTTTTCATAGTCTTAATGGCTTAAAAACACATCAAGGTAAATAAACTATAATGTTAAATGATTGATAAGCCTTTACAGGAAGGAATAGCCTGAGTATGAGTATGCTTAAAGCAAGTAAGAACAAGATGTTTTGTTTCTGAATGCACTTCTGACATATGTAGTCATATGATCAGTATGACTTGTTTCTAGCAATGTGAGTCACTATATGCTTTAAAACTGACTGAACTGTGTTTATGTTGACAGTCACTGAAAGGGATTGTGGGCCATTTTAATTAGAATATCTTGGACATTCGTGTTTTAAACAAGGCTAAAAGAACAAGCTCAATAGTGTTTGAAAAGGCAGTGTGGTAGTGTTGTAAATTAAAAAGAAATAGTTTTCTTTTTTTAAATGTCCTTGTGTTCAGATAACTACTATTTAAAAATAATTAATAACATGTGCTTTGGGCTTATATGGGTAGGGTCAGGATGAGTGTTGAGGGTTAGTTTTAGTGGTGTAACGTAACTAATTACAAATACTCAAATTACTGTAATTAGTTACTTTTTCTCAGGAATTGTAATTTACTGAGTACTTTTAAAAATGTGTACTTTTACTCTCACTTGAGTACATTTTTAGTGCTGTAGCTGTATATTTACTCCACTACTTTTTTTCAACCTGCAGTCACTACTTTATTTTTCTTGTCTGTAAATTAGATAAATCAGTCCTGTAATTCCCATCCAATCAAATCACACATAGAAGGTAAATCGCCTCATAATGAACTACCTCAAGACATGGTAAATTTATAAATGCAGTAAACTGTTTGGAAGCATTAAAAGTGTCCAAGAAGATGTCCAAAAACTTTACACACGTTGACCGAGAGACTGTTTAGATGCATGACACTGATGAGAAGATGACAGATGTTTACGGTATGGGGACCGAAATGGCCTTAAACATCCAGCAAGCACAAGACATCAACATGATGTCAGATTGACGTTGTACCCCAATGTTATGGGGACGCTGCATTTTGTTTGGTATTTACTATGATCGTCTATGTAAAGTTGCTTTGACACAATTTACATAGTAAAAGCGCTATACAAATAAAGGTGAACTAAATTGAAATGAAAATCGGGTTGACGTCAGACCAACGTCAATGTCCAACAATGAAGTTGTGTGAACGTTACCACTATGACGTCTATCAGATGTTGGATTTTGGTTGCCAAACGAGATAAATAAATATCAGTATTTGACGTCAATATGATGTTGGTTTAAGATGTTGGCTTGGCGTTGGATTTTTGGTCCCTTTCTAACACAACCTAAAATCGACCAAATATTAAAGTCATTTAACGTTGTTATTAGACATAAAATAACATTATCCCTAGATGCTGGCTAGACATTGAATTTTGGTCACTTGACATCACAACCTAAATCTAACCTAATATTAATGTCCTATGATGTTGTGTGCCTGCTGGGCAATAACTAAATCCACTACAGAATGTTACGTTTACACACATCCACAAATTACATGGAAACGCATCAACTTTTAACAGCATAATAGTTAGTACTTTTAAAAGAGCTACTTTTTACTCATACTTTGAGTAATATTTACAACAGATACTTTTACTCTACTTGCACTATATTTTTAGGCAAGTAGTGGTACTTTTACTTAAAGGGTCACGAAACACCAAAACACATTTTTTGAGCTGTTGACAGTTGTATATGTGTCCCACACTGCTAAAAAAACACTATTAGGACACCTATATTTCACTAAAAAGTGTAAATTGGTTGTTTTTGCATTATTTCAAGCAAATTCGTACTTCCGGTTTGAAACAAATTTTTAAAGCTGCGTCACAGCCATGACACAATAGCATTGTATTCCAGCGTGTAGACTGGAGGTCTGTGCCAGAGTGTGTCTTATTACGTCTTACAGCTTGATGCATTAATGCATGAGTAAGGCTTGGTTCAAACCAATCAGTGCGCTCTATTGTGTAACTTCATTAATATTCATTACTATCACCGTGTTTACACTACAAAGACGCCACGTTGTGTTGGCAAAACAAGCGTGAAGTGTTGCTTTTATTGTTTGCTGCAGTTAAGTTTTGTTTTCATTTTCTCTCTGTGAGAGCTCAGACTCACGTGTGGATTAACAGTGTACGCGACGCTCGACAACAATAACTTACGTGTCTAAGGAGGATTATTGTTTACCTGAGAGCTGTTCTCATCTGCAAACGCTGAGATCCGGATTCGCTTGTAGTATTCTCTTCATAAAGACGCGGCTCTAGTTGCTGGTGATTGTCCTGTCTCTACAGATTTGGTAAGTGAGCGACCAGTGCTCTTTGTTTATTCAGTTTGTTCGTATCTAACAAACTATTGCACCGAGTGTAAACACGTTAGCACCACAACCAAACTTTAACCTCGTGTAGGGTTTTTACCGCATTTAGTGACCGGAATAACACACGCGGCTTTCTGACGCTACCTGCCGTGTGCATCTAAGTTTCCGGAAAATGCAGAGGGTTTTTATTCTCTCACTCGCCGTGCGGTATCAAACATTGCATGAAATACACGCTTAGAGCAGTTCCTCAAATCAAATATCTCGTTTGTAGCGATGGTCATGAATGAATTCCCTGAATGAAAGAGCCAAACTGCAGTTAAAGTCCACCATTTAATAATTTGGCAAATAATTCGACTACAGATGTCCATGTAAACAGTCCCTTTCTCCCCTGTTGGGTGTGTTTTGACTCTGAAATTCAGCACGCCCAAATAGACACTCCCACACCAAGCCTCTTTTCTTCCTTCGACACTCCCCCTAAACAGAGCTGGACACGCCCACTTTTCTGACTTTTTCCAAAGTAGAGGTGTGAAAACACCCTCCTGAAACGAGGGGGTTTCATGGCCCTTTAAGTATGATTTTTCAGTATTCTTTCCACCACTGGTTATTTTAGTTTAATTATGAGTGATTTATTGCCATTTTCATGCACTCTTAAGAAATGCTGGGTTATTTAAAATCCAAACATTGGGTTACATTTGGTCCTGTACATTTTGTCACCTTAAAATTATAAGGTTCTATCTGACATTTTTGTCAAATTTGAGTTATTGACAAATTTGTATAAAATGACAGCTTATTTACATTATGGAATGTTTTTTTATAAGTTGTTTACATTTTAAGACTTTTTATTAAAAAAAAAATAAATGATACACTCTTACTGTTTGCTATGGAATGCAAAAACTTTGAAGCTCAATATCTTAAAATCATTCAGAACGCAGACAGATCCTTATAATTCCAAGGTGATGATTTAATTAAAACCCAGCAGTTGGTTTACCCATCATTTTCTAGAGTGTAGTAAGTACAAAAAGCGTATAACAAGAACATCTTAAAATAATGTGTTACTGAAAATAATTAAAACAGTAACGATTAAACTATTCAGAAAGAGCAATTCTTAAACATTACTCAGTATAAATGCTCTTTTTACTATATCTGTGGTTAAATGGATCACAATCATGATTCCAAGTTATGATAAATCATCATTTATGTGGTAAGAACTCGGTGAGTAACTGCTGATATTAACTGTTCAGATCACACTGTGTGCAGATCTGTTAACCACACTAAACACTTTCAGAACAACCACGTTCCACCTTCACCAATTACCAGTGCTCACTGTTTCCTGCTCTCTGCACTGAGCCCCACACTCGTGCTTTTTTCCATCATGCATTTGCAGAAAGTGACTTGTCAAGCATTTCACTGCATTTAAGATGCAACCAGAAAAGGTGCTGGTTATTTGTATATGAGGGTGCTTTATCAATTTGAAGACAATTTTCCATTAATTATTGATTAGAGATAAATATGACAAGCTCAAATGGACTTCATTTTCTCAGCTTACCTCTTTTAGTCTAGATTCGCAGAATTGAGGAAGGGTACAACAGGAAGCTCTACCTCTGCAGGCCACATCACGTTTTCCCCCTCATGTGTGTGATGTCACTTGTTCCTTATTAGACGGAACCTATAGGTTGTGGAAAGTACAGACTCGTCCCTTTATTAAGCGGACCGTATCAGTGAGGTGATCATCTTCAGCCGGTCAGCCACTTATAAAGCCAACAGCGCATCGAGATCTGATCAACGACCACAAACCCAACCATGAGAACGTCCTGCATCTTCATCGCCTCTCTGGTGCTCGTTGCTTTCTGCGCAATGGCTAGAAGTGAATGTATGTCTTTCTTTATTTATTTCTTTTCTTTATTTCTTTCTTTTTTTAAAGCAAGCTACAGACATAATTTATTCTATATTTAATATACGTATAAATTTTATTCATATTTGTTATACATAATGTATTTTATACATCGACTTGCAGGTATATTAACAAATGTTTTCCATTTATTTTCCTGCAGGGTCCCAGAGTCCTGATAAATGCTGCTTTTCTTTTTCCAATGCAAGAATTCCAGTAAAGCAGGTTGTGAGCTATCATACTACACATCTTCAGTGCAACATGAATGGTGTTATGTAAGCATTTTTGACATTTTCTCTAAATTTAAAAGGTTGTGATTTGGTTTTCTGAACTCATAAACAATCTTTTGTTTTGAAAATGCAGTTTCATCACAAGGGCTCAAAAGGAGATCTGCACTAACCCGACTGAGAAATGGGTTCAGAGACTGATGAAGATGGTGGACAATCAAAACATGAAGCAGATGACCGAGGCCGGCTCTGCGGATAGCCCCTAAGATGAGAACGCTCTTCTCTTTTCTGAATATTGCACTGAACCGTTTCTAAACTGTATTAAGCTTACTTTAATATACACCTGCACTATACTGTTACTCTGCTTTGAATATTGTATATCTATATATTTTTGCAAAGTATATTCATGCTAGAAATGTAATCTAACTCTGTCTGTATTGTTGCATAATTATATGAAAATAAAGAACATGCAGAACATTTGGATTTTGGTCTGTTTTAATTTTTTTTTAATAAAACGAAATGCAAATAAAGCATTAAAGTTTAATCACGAACACTTTACAATAAGGTTGTGTTTTCTTTATAATTAGTGCACTGATGAGACATTACCTAATGAACAGTGCTTTTTTAAATTTATTTCAGTTTTTTGGTTTTTTAAATATCAATGTTAGTTTAGTGTATTAAATAATGTTAACAGTTTTAGTTTAATACTATATTAACAAATATTGAGTTAACTAATGTAAACAAATAAACTCATTTTGCAAAGTGTTTGCAATACTAACACCAACAGGACCATTGATAGAGCTAATAATGACCTTAATATTAACCTTTAATATCTAATTACGCATAAATATTTAATAGTTAATTATGCACACACACATTTACAGTACATATACAACTTAGGCTGTTGATTTTGCCATCTACTCTGCAGATCTCTTGCACGCCCCCATACTAAATGTAACCCCAAACCATGGTTTCTCACCAAACTTGACTGTTTACCATGAGAATATTGGGTCCATGTGGGTTCCAATAGGTCCTCTGCAGTATTTGTGATGATTGGGATGCAGTTTAACAGATTATTCATCAGAAAAATTTACCTTCTGCCACTTCCAGATGATCGACTAGAAGTCAAATGATTGTTTTTGCTCTTACAACTTTATTATTTTTTTTATATTTCCCAAATGATGTTTAACAGCAAGGAAATTTTCACAGTATATCTGATAATATTTTTTTCTTCTGGAGAAAGTCTTATTTTTTAAATTTTTTTTTTGGCACACACACACACACATATACATATATATGCACACGCACACAAACACACATAAGAGTTGGTTCCATGTTGGTTTGTCTTTATAGCAGAATTAAAAGGTCAGCTATGTGAAATGGGCATAGGGGAATATAATTGTAAAGGTATAATGGAAAGAATAAATGGAGGAATCATTTGTATTTGGTTCATAACTGAGGTTTAGGATTAGTTAGTTTAATTGTTCATGATTTATTGTAATTTATATACACTCTAAGAATTGCTGGGTTATTTAAACCCAAAGACTGGGTTAGGTTTGGTCCTATAAATTTATAAAAAAAATAACCTATAAAAAATTCTATAATAGAATAGATTAATAGAATTTGGTTGAAATAACCCATCATTTTTAGTGTGTAGTAAATGCATGGAGCGTGTAACAAGAACATCTTAAAATAAAGTGTTACCGAAAATAATTAAAACATAGTAACAATTAAACTATTCAGAAAGAGCAATTCTTAAACATTACTCAGTATAAATGCTCTTTTTACTATATCTGTGGTTAAATGGATCACAATCATGATTCCAAGTTATGATAAATCATCATTTATGTGGTAAGAACTCGGTGAGTAACTGCTGATATTAACTGTGTTCAGATCACACTGTGTGCAGATCTGTTAACCACAATAAACACTTTCAGAACAACCACGTTCCACCTTCACCAATTACCAGTGCTCACTGTTTCCTGCTCTCTGCACTGAGCCCCACACTCATGCTTTTTTTCCATCATGCATTTGCAGAAAGTGACTTCTCAAGCATTGCACTGCATTTAAGATGTAACCTGAAAAGGTGCTGAGTTGTATAAGTGGGTGCTCATCAATTTGAATTTTCCATTAATTATTAATTAGAGACAAATATGACAAACTCAAATTGATGTAATTATCTCTGCTTACATGTGTCAGTGACTTAATCAAGGTTGGCAGAATTGGGGAAGGGTACAACAGGAAGCTATAGGCCACATCACGGTTTTCCCCCTCATGTGTGTGATGTCACTTGTTCCTTATTAGACGGAACCTATAGGTTGTGGAAAGTACAGACTCGTCCCTTTATTAAGCGGACCGTATCAGTAAGGTGATCATCTTCAGCCGGTCAGCCATCGATAAAGCCAACAGCGCATCAACATCTGATCAACAAACGCAACCATGAGGCCGTCCTGCATCTCCATCGTCTGTCTGGTGCTCTTCGCTTTCTGCTCAGTTGATGGAAGTGATTGTACGTATTTTTCTGTATTTTTTGCTTTGACTAGACTAATTGACCGCATGTTTTGTGGTGCATTATCTTCTTTTTTAATGTAATCCATTCATATATTGATTAACATTTCATGAAACAGTTAAATGATTCTCATTTTCTTTATTTCTGTATTTTTTATTGTAAGCAAGCAATAGACTATTAACTCTTTTTCGTGAACATATATTTCATAGATAAATTTATATTAAGAATTGATGTATTTCTTCTCTACAGTGTCCCAGAGTCCCGATAAGTGCTGCTTTTCTTTTTCTAATACAAGAATTCCAGTAAAGCAGGTTGAGAGTTATCATACGACGCATCTTCTCTGCAGTGGTAATGGTGTTATGTAAGTATTTTTTGACAGTTTCTCCACATTTAAAGGGTTGTGATTTGGTTTTGTGAAATTATGAACAATCTTTTGTTTTGAAAATGCAGTTTCATCACAAAGGCTCAAAGGGAGATCTGCACTAACCCGACTGAGAAATGGGTTCAGAGACTGATGAAGTTGGTGGACAATCAAAACATGAAGCAGATGACCGAGGCCGGCTCTGGTGACAGCGCCTAAGATGGGAACAGTCCTCTCTTTACTGAATCGTTTCTCAACTGTATTTAAGCTTACTTTTATATGCACCTGCATTATACTGTTACTCTGCTTTGAACATTGTATATCTATTTATTTATGCAAAGCATATTCATTCTAGAACTGTAATGTGAATCTGTCTGTATTGTTACATATCTATATGAAAATAAAGAACATGCAGTATATTTGGTTTTTGGTCTGTTTTTATAATATCAATTGCAAATAAAAGCATTAAAGTTCAATCACTAACCCTTTACAATAATGTCATGTTAACATTAGTGCATTGACTAAACATTGCACTACAATGTGTGTTTTTACATCATTTTTTTCAGTTTAAAATTGTTTAACAAAGTAATAAAAAATGCATATATTTATTTATTTAGAATTTTAACAAAAGTATAAGCTCTCCTGGGGGGATTTTAAATTATTATTATATTAATTATTTTAAATTCCTTATATATATATATATATATATATATATATATATATATATATATATATATATATATTTTTTTTTTTTTTTTTTTTTTTTTTTTCTCAAGTGATGTTTATCCAAGCAGAAAGGTTTGCAGTATTTCCTACAAGGTTTCTCTGCCAAAAAAAACACTTTTTTGATTTTGAAACAGCTAATGTCAATATTATTAACCATCTTAAGAAGTTTTTTTTTTTTTTCATTGGCTACAGAACAAACCAGACCCGAATTAACCATGGATTGAATCCCATTTAAAGTTGTGTAGTTTCTATCAGAGTCACGTAATGAACATGTTTGAGATCATCATTAGATCTTTACATTGTTTCAATAACCCTGTGCATGGTTCATTTTTTTTATGAAGAGCATTGATTTTTGTCTGAGATCTTTGACGATAGAAACTCTTACACAGTGTTATTAATAGAGGAACCCCTGTTTATTCACATCTCAAGACCTTCAGTTACAGTAGATTAAGGTCAGTTGGTGGTCAACTGATGTTTACAAATGTATCGTTTTTTTGTCATCCAGGCAATGTATTATATAATTCCACGTCACTCACACACACACACACACACACACACACACACACACACACACACACACAATTCAAGCTAGGAAAAAACAAATGGAACAATAAAACAATTCTGATATTTTCATGTTGGTTAGATTTCTCAGGCATGTTTATATATTTAAGTAATATATACTTTGTGTAAATACATGGTCTACTCCAACAATGTATTAATTTGTGTTTTAGTAGAGTTCACACAAAAATTCACTGTTTGTGAAAACATAAAAATATAATTCTTGAAGACCAGTATCTTGTAAAATACCTAGTAAAATATTGTCAAAATATTATAAAATAGCTTATAGTTTAGTTTTTTTTTTCAAATATTTTCAAAATTGTTTTTGAAACAGAGCAAGGAATTTTTTACAGTATTTCCTATAAAATTTTTCTTCTGGAGAAAGTCTTATTTTTTTTTATTTCAGCTAGAATAAAAGCAGTTTTTAAAATTTTTATAGTCATTATTATTAGCCCAGTTAAGCAATATCAATTGTGATTTGTAAAGTGTTATTTATTATTTTTTGGTATTCAGGATCTTGCAATAACACCTTTTTTTCATTTAGGTGAGTGATTTTGGGCACTACTTTTCCCCACACATTAAATTCCCCAAATGCAAGCAAACCAATGAAAATGTGCAGCTATAATGACGAGTCAGCAATGTGGTAAAGCTTTATTTAATTACATTTTTTCCTTAAAAATTTCCAGTTTCTTACCAAATTTCACCAACAAGCTTTATTTTCCTGGAAATTGTTATGCTCGCAAATCTTTTATATATTTTATATATTTATATAATACTAATATATATATATATATATATATATATATATATATATATATATATATATATATATATATATATATATATGTATATATATATATATATATATTAGTCCTCCTGTTTATTTATTTCCGTTTGTCTTCTGTTTATTCATTTCTGTTAGATTTTTTTAACACATTTCTAAACATAATAGTTTTATTAACTCATTTCTAATTTATTTTTGTCTTTGCCATGATGACAGTACATAACATTTTACAAGATAGTAATTAGACAAGTTATTGTATATTGATGGCTTGCTCTATACTATTGAAAAAATATATAGCTTAAAGGGGTTAATAATTTTGACCTTTAAAGTGGTGTTAAAAAAAATGTAAAAACTGCTTTTATTCTAGCTATATATAATGTTCAACAAATTCCTGAAGTTTGATATCTCTCTTCTTTTAGACCATGATTTACACTTTATTATCAAAACATACGTTTTTATTTTATTGTTTTTATTTTATTCTTCTAAAATTCACCATGCGGATAATCTTGTTGTTCATTTCTTTTGATTATTGGATTGTGTCTTTTTATTCACAATTTTTGTAATCCAAATACAAATTTTCAATTTTGTCAAATCTCATTATTATCAAATTTCATGTCAAAGTCTCATTAATAATAATAACAAGTGTATTTGGATTTATATGATAACATTTCTCTCAGTAATAACAATGTCATGTTATTATTTTTTCCCCTCTTTCTTTTTCATTTCAACATTTTGTGTACTTTATGCCCAAAATGAAAAGGGAATGTATAGAGACTTTAGAGCAAGATCAGAATATTTTCCAGAACTCCTAAAATTCATCTGAAAGCTCCACATTTACTGACTGAGAAAAGTCTTGCTTTAAAATAAGTTGGTTACATTCAAATGGATAATTACCTAAAATTATAACCCAAAATATTTTTACATGAGATTGTGGTTTCAAATGTAAGCTTATGAAAAGAGAAATCCAATGTAACAATAAAATGGTGCTTTAAAAAAATTATCTATTAACCGTAGTGGCAAAAACTAATTGTCATAAATATTTTTAAGCTAATTATATATTTAGTAACAAAACATAGCTGTTGCTCAGAAATATAAAAGTGGCTATGGAATTGTTTGCAGTGAAATGTGTCTTTACTGTCTAAAATGTAAGTCACTTAATATCTGCTTTCTTTATTAAATGTTTGTATAAATAATAATTAATTAATTGTAAACAGTTTGTCAATTTTAATAGTTTTATATTAACTTTTACCTCTCATTCTCTTATGATAATGTTTAATTATATAAAAAATATACAGCTGAAGCCATAATTATTACCCCCCTTTGTATATTTTTTTCTAAATTTTTACACATTTTAATACATATTAGTTTTAATAACTCATTTCAAATATCTGATTTCTTTTATCTTTACCATAGTATTTTATATCTATATTTACTTATTTTTCAAAATACTAGTATTCTAACTTAATTTTTAGGTTAATTGGGATAGTTAGGATAATTAGGCAGGTCAGAGTATAACATTGTTTATTGTGAAAACATGAAAATATAATACTTGAAGTATCTTGTAAAAATACCTAGTAAAATATGTCATAATATTATAAAATAGTTTATGGTTTACATATATACAGACCTGTATAAGTTGGTCAATTTTTTTTTCATTTTTTCAAGTATTTTCCAAATTATTTTTAACAGAGCAAGGAATTTTTTACAGTATTTTCTATAATATTTTTGGATAAAGTCTTATTTGTTTTATTTTGGCTAGAACAAAAGCAGTTTTAAATTTTTTTTAAGTCATTATTATTAGCTAGGTAGGATAATTAGGCAAGTCAATGTATAACAGTGTTTTTCTATAAAAAATAGAACAAAACATATTGCATAGGAGGGCTAATAATATTGCCCTTAAAATGATTTTTTTTTTTTAATTAAAAACACATTTAAATTGTTAAAAGAATTTAACAAATTAAATTTTTTTTTAGCTGAAATAAAACAAGACTTTCTCCAGAAGAAAAAATATAATAGGAAATAATATGAAAAATGTATTAAGAATTTAAGAATGTTTAAGAAATGTAGCTTAAAAGTACTTTTTAGCAATAATATCATATATTTTATTTTGATGGTTCTTTTCACATTTTGACTGTATGTTACATTGCAACTATATGCCAACTAATTCTCATTAAAGTATTAGTAGACCAAGTGAATTAACGCACTTCAAAAGTTTTTAGTCAAGAGAATATTTATTGGTGGAGTGGTGCCAGCAAATAAGTGGAGAGTCTATTAATACTTATTTATGAAAATGGGTTGACGTGCTGCAGTTACAAGGTACTTTACCTTATAATCAACAAAATGTGTAAAAGGAAGCATCAAAATAAATTGATACTGACATTTTTAACACAATCACCTGGTAACCTCTGACCAAGCACAATAATAACAAACGTCACATTAGAACCTGTGATTGATTGCATTTATTGTATATCCAGTCTGAATAATGACTATTTAAAGCCAAGATTGAGACAAAACCAAGTTTGCTGTAAAAATGCTGGGTTCCACACAATTGGTTTATGTCGTCCCTACACAGGGTTAAGTTAAGAAGTCAAGTTAACTTCATTGTTATTAATGGATTGTACAGAAAACTATTACCCCCTCAACCCCCACCCCCACCCAAAAATAAAAAATTAAAAAACTAGTAGAATTATGTTGATTTAGCTAATTTGAAATCCTGTCAGTAGTTTGAACAACCAGCAAAAATTCATTTTTTGGGTGTTGAAATGAAATAGGGTCCTAAAAAGACAAGCCTAAAAAAATAATGTAGAAGAAGTAACTTATTTGAAACAGTGATTTAATCTGAGCCACGTTATGATGCAGGATGTGTGGGAGGAGAAAAACTAAAGGTATTAAACAATTACATAAATACAAAAAATCACAGTCAAAAATGCTGGGTTCCACAAAATTCATTCAGGTTGTTCCAACACAAATTACGTAACTCAACAAATTTAAGTGGATTGAACATAAAACAATTAAGCTTAAAAAACATCAAGAGTTGTTTAAGATTGTGTTGTTTAAGGTTGTTTTACTGTAGTATTGTAAAGTACTATAGTTTTTTTCAAAAGAAGCTAAATAATTTAAAGTATGGCTTTTTCATGTTTGCTTTTAAGCTTCGACATTATTTACTATTGTTTTGGATCAAAAAAGTACTGATAAAGCATTATCCATGTGGTGAGACTTCAATGAGAAACTGCAGATATTCTGATCAGATCTGTTAACCACACAAAACACTTTCAGCACAACCACCGTTCCACCGTCACCAATTTCCTGCAATGCACCCCAGACTCATTTCCAACATGCATTTGCAGAAAGGGACTTTTCACATGTTGCATAGAAGTTCTTGAGAAAACGCAACCTCAATAGATTCAAGGCTTAAAATCTGTATATGGGGGTCTTCATGAGGGTCCTTCATTATTGAAGTCATTTTTGATCAATTAAAAAAAAAATGGAAATCATCTTACCTGTGTCAGCGATTTAGTCTAGATTCACAGAATTGAGGAAGGGTATAACAGGAAGCTCTACCTCTGCAAGCCACATCACGGTTTTCCCCCCTTTGTGTGTAGCGTTTCTTGTTTCTTATTGGACGGAACCTATAGGTTGTGTTGTGGAAAGTACAGACTCATCCCTATATAAAGCCGATAACATCAGTGGGGTGATTATCTTCAGCCGATCAGCCACCGATAAACCTCCAGATTTGATAATCGACTGACCACAAATACAACCAACCATGAGGCAGTCCTGCATCTTCATCGCCTGTCTGGTGCTCGTCGCATTCTGCTCAGTTGATGGAAGTGATTGTACGTATTTTTCTGTATGTTTTTATTTGACTAGACTAATTGACTGCATGTTTGTGGCACATTATCTTCTTTTTTAATTTAATCCATTCATATATTATTTAATTTAAACATTTTGCAAAACAGTTGAATGATTTATTTTCATCTTTGTTTTCAGTCAGCCAAAATCCAGACAAGTGCTGCTTTTCGTTTTCCACTATAAAGATCCCAGTTAAGCAGGTTCAGAGTTATCATACTACACATTTTCAATGTCAGAAGAACGGGATCATGTGAGTACTTTTTTATAATTCTATAAATAAAATGAGAAGATATTGTAAATACATTTTTTTTAACTGTCTTCTCTTTGAAAATGCAGTTTTGTGACAGAACAGAAGGAGATCTGCGCTGACCCGACTGAGAGATGGGTTCAGAGACTGATGAATCTGGTGGATGCTCGCCTGGTGAAAGACACAGAGGCCAGCTCTAATGGCAGCCCCTAAGATGAGAACGCTCTGCTGGTTTCATACTATTGCATTGAACAGTTTCCAGACTGTTTTTAAGCTTTGAAATAACTGTGAAGTGCACATTAACAATACTGTTAATTATATTTCAAGACATGCTACCTGTTTAAGCTAGAATTCAAACCTGAATCTGAACCTGTCTGAATACTTTAATATTATACATAAATAAAGAACTTTAAACTAAAGGAATGTTGAATTTTGGTCTTTTTTTATCTGTTTTAAAGAAAATTATACACAGTTGAAGTCATTGGACAACGTGTCCAATCTAAAAAAAAAAAAGACTTAAAAGTGTCTTTGTTCTGGTTAACATCACTTTATTATATATGTTTGGGATAATATATATATATAATGTTTTAATAATTAAATATGTAGTGCTTTTTAAAAATCTAATCCAGTGCATGATCGTCATATTAATAAATGGTTTCAATTATTATCACATGTTATACAAATATTATTTGGTATATTTTAATATTTAAGAGAGTACATTAATCTTAACACTTGTTTCTTAGTATATACAGTTAAAGTCAGAGTTATCAGCCCTCCTGAACTATTAACCCCCTACTGTATATATGTTTCCCCCAATTTCTATTTAATGAAAAGAGGATTTTTAAGCACATTTTTAAACATAATAGTTTTAATAACTGATTTCTTTCATTTTTTGCCATGATGACAGTACAGACCCATAGCCAGGAGGCTTTGTGTCGTTGGAAAGACTGGAAATGAGCTGGCCAGTTTGTTATTTACATACAGGCTGCAGTTTTTGTTATGTTTTGTTAATTGTTTTTAATAAGTCTTATCAGATTCCTTAATTTTTTAATGATGCATGACTTTTTAATTCTTTTTTCACAAATTTTTGTTTAAAATTATAATCTCATGACAATATTTATAAAACTGTAATAACTTAGTTTAAACGCACATATTTTTGCATGAATAGTGGGGTTATGATCACCATCCGACAAGCTATGCAACAAAGATTAGTGCTTAAAATGTAATGTCACTAAAATGATAAAAAATAGAAATTGAGGGAATGACTGCAGAAAAAAGAACCACTCCTTTCAACAGGCTGGCTATAGGCCTGCAGTATATAATATTTTACAAGATATTTTTTAAGATACTAGTATTCAGCTTAAAGTGCAATTTAAATGCTTAACTAGGTTAATTAGGGAAAGGTAATTAGGCAACTCATTGTATAACGATGCTTTCTGTAGATAATTGTAAATATATATATATTGCTTCAGCGGGCTGATAATAGTGACATTAAAATTTGTTTAAAAAGTTAAAACTGCTTTTATTCTAGCCGAAATGCAGAAGAAATTTGTTAAATGTTATTTCAAGAGTTCACACTTAGATATTGCTTAGACAACTGTTAGCAAGTTTGGCATGCTGTCCCGGGAGAGAACCCTGAGCTGGGAGATAGCTGAGCCCAGGGCTCGCGCCAGGTCCATAGAGCATGTGAGGGGTCCCGGGAAGAGGTCTTGGACACCCCTAGATGACATACTAGATCCTACTCTCCTTGACGAATTCCATCGCCAGCATCCAGATCGGCACAATCATCAAAGATCCTTTGTTTCCCTTATGATCTGCTTACAAGACTGCTCACATTCTACGAATATTACTTACCTGCTTCCTCTGCTGAAATATCCGTTTTGATAAAATTAACTAAAAGAGAGAACCATCCTTGTCTTTATTGTGTCCGTGACAAAAATGTTAATTATGGATGTCTGCAATTATATTTCAACATGTTACATTTGTTATTTCTGATATCTAAAAATGTATTTCTGATATCAGCAATTAGGGAAGTAATTTCTAAAAGTACTCAAAGTAATATATAATATATTTTAGTAGTAATAATTACATTTATGATGTTAGAAATTAACATGGTCACTAGTGACAAACCAATTATTGATATCAATAATGAACATATTTACTAGTTGAAAAGTAAACTGTTGACATTAAAATTTTTAATTCTTGTCTCCAACAGTTAAAATTTTGATGTCAACAATTACATTTATGATATCAACAATTACCTTTTTGATATCAAGAATGCTGATTGTTGATATCAAGAAATAAGTTGTGGATATCAAGAATACATATTTTGAGAATGAATACAAGTCAAAATGGCTTGCCATAGCCAGTGTGAATAAGTAATATGTAGTCCGGGTGAAAGTCACTTGTGCGGGATACATAGAGTGACCTCTAGTGGGACTCATTGTCACTGCAGCTGATAATCATAACGTAGCAATCCATATGCTGCATTCATCCATCGATAGCAAGTAAATAGGAAATATACAAATATGGTGGTGCGTGAGGAGATTTCCCCCAACATCTGTAAATTGCTTTGAGTACCCAGAAAAGCGCTATATATATTAAAGGAATAGCTATTATAATAAACAGGACATTAACCTTTAGTTTAGTAATTTACAGTGTGAAACATCAGATTAATAATTCTAGCCCACAATAATTTAAGCCTTAACAAGCTATTTGGGTTTCGGCTTGTTATATTTGATTTTTTTTTTTACTGTTGTTGACCTTGCATTTATGCTCGTCACAGAAACCACGGATTTCCTTAGTGCATATTCTCATCTCCACAAAATATTCTACTCATTACAGGCTGCAGGAACTGCTTATTTATGTTTTGTACTGTTCCTTGTGGTCGATTTATAATGCTATCAAATTTTTTAAATCAATAAAATCATCATTTGAAAGGCGATTTTCTGTCTGGTTTTGACCGCCCTCAAAAGAACAGGCTTATTTAAATAGACTTGTAATTTTAAAACTTGAAATTAAATGCTAACTTGTATGATTGGCTCATAGTTTTATACTTAAACATTTTGGAAAGCTGTGTGCCCATTGATGTAAACTCATAGATGGACAGTGCTGTGAACTAATAAATAAATAGGTCTTGCAACATTTTAATGAGTGTGCTATATAATAATGTATTTAAAGTGATATATAAATATAGAGAGAGCATGTTCAAAGGATTGGTTACGCACAAAAGAGCTTAACCACTTTTGTACTTTCATACCAGCCACTCGCAATTTGACCAAGAGAGCTCATTGTTTCCTGCACCAAGCCCAGCTCATTTTCTAACTTGAGTTTCAGAAAAAAGACTTTTCTAGCATTTTATGTGGATTTCATCTTCTTGAAAACATGTAACCTGAAAATATGCATAATAATAAGTCATAAAATGGTGTTCAAAAATATAAAGACACTATGGACACATCAACAGTCTAAGCTTGATTCACTGAAGTGGTGTGGGTTACACAGGAAATACTACCTCTGCAGACCACATTATGGTTTTAGGTTTTTTTTTTTTTTTTGCTGGAGAGAACATAAATATTTATATAGTGTCAGTGAGGTGGTTATTTAAAAGAAGATCAGCCACCAATACAATGACTTCTTATTCAATATCTGATTGACGACTGAGCAGAATACAAAATATGAAGCCGTCCTGCAACTTCATCGCCTGTCTGGTGCTTGCCACTTTCTGCTTAGTTAATGGTGGATGTGCATATTTTTATGTATCTAATTCATTATTTTTTTTTCTAGTCATTAAATGGAATGTTAATTACAGTGTATTTTACATCTGTATTTCTAACTTCAGGGTCCCAGGGTCCCGTTAAGTGCTGCTATTCTTTTTTTAATGCAAGAATTCCAGTAAAGGAGGTTGGGGGTTATCATGCTACACATCTTCAGTGCAACATTAATGCTGTTATGTAAGTTTTTTTGACAGTTTCTCTGAATTAAAAAAATTCTGTCTTTTTTGTGCAATCATGAACAATCTTTTGTTTTTAAAATGCAGTTTCATCACAAAGGCTCAAAGGGAGATCTGCACTAACCCGGCTGAGAAATGGGTTCAGAGACTGATGAGGTTGGTGGATGTTCAAAATATGAAGCAGATGACAGAGGGCAGAATTGGGGACAGCTTGGACACACACAGATCTAAACCACTTCATGAGATGCCAAAAACCAACCAAGCAGTGTCAAAGTAAATTTCTATGTGTCTATAAATTGCTATACTACTTTAAATTATGGCAAAGTAAAGTTATATGCCAAACACTTTATTATTATTAATAAAATGCTTTTAGTATGCTTTTGGTAGACTAAGTAAAACCTTTGAGCAAAAAACAATTACAAACACCACAATTTGAAATTACACATGATGTTGCAGTTTGAATCTCTATTCTCTTTTGAAAGGAAAGCAGAGATAATTACAATGACAGAAATGCCACTCCAGCAACAAGATGAAACAACTTCAATCCTATACTATTTTCAGGACTGGACAGATTTTGACACAACACAGGCAAATTCAAAAACTGAGTAAGTAAAAACAAAATAAGTGAACCAAATACCATTTTTCCTGTACTAAAATCTGCTACAAGTATCTTGTCAGTGTGCTCGATTGATGCTGTGAATTATGTGACATTAAAATTATGAAAATATATTTAACCCAAATACCTTTTTGCTGAAAATGTTGGCTTGGTTACACACTCTCAGAAATAAAGCTATGCGAGCTGTCATTGAGTTGGTAGCTTTTTGAAAGGTCCATATTAATGCCTCAATGGTACACATTAGTACCTAAAAAGTACAAAAGTGTTCCTCTTAAAATTTTTGGGTACAAATAGATACTTTCAAGGAACAAATATGGACCCTTCTACAAATATGTACCTTTTAAAGAGGTACCACCCCAGTGACAGCTCGCGTACCTTTAATTCTGAGAGTGCACAAAGACTCACCAAGGATTGTATAAATCATCATTGCTTAAAATGATCACTGGCAAGAGGCTTTGAAATTATCCAAATATTTAATGATCCTGGTTTAAATATCTATTCTATTTTGAAAAGAAAGTAGTCTTAATGACAAAAACGCCACTCTAGCCACAAGAAGAAACAACTCTAATCCAGGGCTGGACAGATTTTGACACAATTTAGGCAAATTCAAAAACTAAGTAAACATAAAATAAAAATACAATAATTGAACCAGATCTTAAAATTAATCTGAATGTATTTAATTGATTTTGTAAATGATGCTAAAATACTAAATGTACATAAAAAAATTATTTAGTCCAAAAGCAATTTAGCTGAAAATGTTGGCTGGCTATATCAAAATAATAATGACATTGTACACCAGCCATTGTAAAAAAAATGTTAGTCTCATATTTTGAAAGGAAAGAAGAATCAAAAAACTAAAATAAATTCTTGATGACTATATTTTGGCACAGTGAAAGAAATAAGATTTTAAATCTCACAATTTTAAAACTTAGTAAATCTAAGTTCCAGTTGTTTCTGTTTTTCCATATATTAATGATTATCCACTATCATTGATCATGGGATTAAAGAGCTTTTTTCTCTCTGCCATGTAGATCTGTTTACTTCTGTGTGCGACCAGGGGGAGAATAACTGGAATTTATTCAACATCTATGAGACATCCAAGACACATATTTCTTTGCTTTTAGCTGCTTTGCAAGAAATGTGTAAGTTAAAATTAAAATATTGTATAATATACTGTGGTCAATGTCATATTGGTGCAAACTATATAAATGTGTGAAATAAATCCCCATTTTTTTCATCAATAAACTCAAAGCTACTCTGTTTTATTTTCTCTTAATAATTTATCAAAACCTACAGTCACCCATGAAAATGCATTTTACATGAACAGTAAAAACACTTAAAAGTATCGACTGAAGATTTTATAAATCAAAAAATGCCATTTTACAAATCTATTGACAGGAGTCATAAATAGCAGTTCATCAGAACAAGTCATTCATAAATCATTATTTTTAGAAAATGTATAATGAGAAAAATAATTTCCCTAATAGAACTCCATATGAAATTATTTGAATCCAATATTTAAAATCTCATTTTTAAGATATTAAGCATAAATGAATGTCTCAGTGGAGTGCTTCTTCCTGAAAACAGACAAAAATTCATTCAATATATTATATTGAAAAAGATCCTCTTTAGTCCTCTAAAATATAATATTTCAGTCACTTTTGGTAAAGCACTCTGCATTAATACAGCCTCATAAATATTACATTGAAATCTACAGGTTTTCTTGTAAAAGTGAAGACCTCTTTTGGGTTTTACTCACCATAAATATTTCTTTGACCAATTAAAATATGTATAATATGGGTAACCAGAAATAACAAACTTCACTGGAATATTTTCTTACCCTTTTGCTTTGCTACATTTGCATTTCATTAACCTCTTAAAACATTACTGTTATAATTAGAAATAAACTCATTAAATTCAGCATAATACTCCTTAAAACAGCAATTCAGCATTAAAAAAACCTGTTGCTGCAAACGTATTTACCGATGTTTTTTTTAATTTATCTATACTGTAGCGAGCACACGAATGCCACGTCGCGTTGGTCGCAGATCCACCCCAGCTGGATCATCATTAACACCGGATCGCTCACAGCTGGAACTCATCAGAAGGAGAGGCATATAAGACAAGCCCACGCCAGAGGAAGATGAGCTTCATTCCACTAATGACTCCCTGCGCTAATGCTTGTCTCGCCACAGCAGACTCCAGCTCGTGACAATCCCTCACCCGACTACTCACTGTCCTTCACCTACTTCCCGGAGCACCAGAGCACCTCACCTCGAAGAAGAGCACCGTTTGCACACCTTTCACTTTGTAAATAAAGCACCCTCCGGGGACTTGTCTGTAAACTTATCCAACTGTGTCGCTGTTTTCCCTCTGCCTCGGTACAATACCAATTTCCATCAGCATTAAGATTAATTTGTTTCCCTTTTGCCTTTTTAACTCTTGTATAATTTCTTTGTAGTAAATACGTCAAATTGTAATTAGTTTTATCCATATCTATAAAAAAATGTAATTGTCGTGAATTGCAAATTGTTGAACTTTTTCATAATTTAGTGATCAGGTGGGTTAAAAAAAAAAAACCTTAAACTAACTTAAAGTATGGCATATCCTTGCTGCTGTAAATGTAACAAACCACAAGATGGCCCTGTTTTAAACACTCAGAGACTTTTAGGGCTCTATTTTGACGGTCCATGTGCAAAACGGAAAGTGCAGTGTGCAAACGCATTCAGGGCATGTCAGAATCCATATTTGCTCATTTAAGGACGGGAAAATCCACTTTGCGCCATGACGCATGGTCTAAAAGTGTTGAGTTTATTTTCTTAATGAGTTATAGCTGTGTTTTGAGAATAAACCAATCAGAGTCTCATCTTCCATTCCCTTTAAGAGCCTTGCATCGCCATAAGCGCATTTGCTATTTATATGATGTAAAGTAAGTGGAAGTGGAAAAACTGAGGGCTCTATTTTGACGGTCCATGCGCAAAGCGCAAAACGCAGGGTGCAAACACTTTCAAGGCGTTTCAGAATGCAGTTTTACTAATATAAGGATGGAAAAATCCGCTCTGCTCCGTGGCGCATGGTCTAAAAGGCTTGAGTTTATTTTCTTAATGAGTTATAGGTGTGTTTTGAGAATAAACCAATCAGAGTATCATCTCCCATTCCCTTTAAGAGCCAGTTGCGTCGTGCCATAAACGCATTTGCTATTTACATGACGTAAAGTATGAAAAACCTTTACGCACAAATATCAATTAGCCTGTAAATAATTATTTTCATTTAAGTGCAAATATTTGTTTCAAAACTATTTCTAAATTCAGTTCTAATTTCCAGCAAACAAATAAATGAACAATAATTACGAAGTGTGCTCAAAAACCTGATTTATATCCTAAAACACTTGCTGTGCCCCATATGGTCTAAAACCTGACAGGTGGGCAAATTTAAGCTTGTTTTTATTAAAACAAATATAAATATGGATATAATAAATAATACTGCTACTAATAATAACATTATACAAAAGCAATTTGTTATGAATTAACTGAAAAAGCCTCCCGAGATGAAGAAGGCATAAAAGCAGTGGTTTTTCATATTCATCTAGGCTAGAAAATAATATGTTTTGTAATATTTTAATCCTTTATTTTTTTATCCTATATATATTCTTATTATATTTTATATATATCCTTAATATTAGAGTATTGCTCTACATCTTGTGTCTATTAAGCAGTGTGTAAGCGAGGTGCAACTCTGCGCTGGAGTTCAGACCAGGTTTGTTTTGGTCTAATGAAAAATCTATTATAGTTTCTCAAAACAGCAACGCGCCAGCAATGCACCTCAGAACGCCTTACTTTTTAGACCAGAACGCCTATGGGCGCACATATGAACACTAATGCATTTGCTATTTAAAGAGCGTGGCGCAACGCCTCAAAACCACTCTTGCGCCAAGCAGAAACTAGCAAACAAGTATTGCGTCGCGCTTTGCGCCACATTGCGCCGGGTGTATGATAGGGCCCTTTATCTTTATCTAATTTAATTAGGAAGAAAAGCTTAAGGAGAGGTTGTCCAATCCTGTACATGCAGTATGTCAGAAATAATATTTTTAAAAAGCACTACCAAGTATATTTTTTTAGAATATACTTTTGTTAAAAAATTTTATTGCAAAAACATGTCAGAAATTTACATTGAGTAATAAGATAATATCCATCATACATGTAATTTGACTTAGAGGTTCCAATATAATAAAGAAAGGGTTCCAGGTCCGGTAAAATAGAAAAAGGTTTGTTCATCAAAGCTGTGGAGAAAGCTTCAAGTAAGATTATGTTGTAGACTGCAAGCAGCCAATTATTTAAACTGGGGGGTTCTTCAATAATCAACTTTACAAGAGTAAATTTCCGAGCAAAGTAAACCAAAATATGCAGAAGGTCTCTGTTTCAGAAACTATTAGGTATATCATCATTGAGACCCAGTAAGCAAGTCCCTTGCTCCCAATCGAAATGTGCATTTAAAGATGGCGTTGAGCTGCAGTCTAATCCAGTCCCAGAACTGCTGTAAGAGAACAACTCCACAAACAATGATAGAATGATCCGTCAAATCAAATCAGGCCTTTATTTGTCACACACACTTTCGTATAGTGAAATTGAACTCCCCTGACCATACACAAACATCACAATTTTCAGGAGAAGACAGGTCACAGGAGGTAGCATTTAGAAAAGGAAGTAAAATACATCAGGAGAGTCAGGCAAAAAATACCCTCTCACCTTGCTCTTGAATTGGATTAGCTGGCGTTTTGAATCTGCTGCTATGTTAACATAGAAATATACACTAGATATCGCATAGGGACCCTGAGCATGCGTCAATAGCGCCGCCACATTGGTACGGTGCTCCCAGGACAAATGTCATTCAACCGCACTTGTCAAGACAGTGTTATTACGTGAAGATGCTGGACTATAGCGCAGTCTACGGGTGTAGTAAAGAGCAAACAAAGAAAACAAAGCACAAAGGCAGAACATTTCATAGGTAAGATTAAGTTTTTTCTGTTTTTGTATGTTCTGAACTTTTGTGCTAATCAGGTAACGTTATTGATGATAATACAGTCACTTACTGTATTCACTATAAGTCAAAGTAGCTCCAACTCGAACTAAACACTCGGCTTATGCTAGTTTTGTTGAATAAAATCAGCAAACAATGCAAAAGAAATATGACAACGAGATGCTGCGCTGCCAGAAACTTGTATTATTGTCTGCTAGTGAGTCTTTCATAACAGAGATTCATTCACAAACGAATCGCTCCCTCCGTCAGTATGAGAAGTGAAAGCAGGAGAGGAGCTGTGTTTCAGGACACGGAATAGATCAAATTTAACAGGGAGGGTGGATAGTACATTTCTGTACACAATAACACAAGCTTTTTGTCAGGAGTGCCAGTGCGGTCACTGATCCATCAATGTAGAAAAGTGATGTAAAATTATAATTTTCGCAATTAAAAAAAAATTGCATACTAACATCCAGGAAAACTCCCGATCATAGATATATGTGTATATGTGTATATCTCTGGCTTTGGAGGCCACAGTCCTACACTGTACCTTGGTCCTGCATTCATTTCAAAGGAGCACTACCCTGTTTCAAAATGGCGGCTCTATTGACACATTCCTTTCAATAGACAACAACAGGGTAGGCGACATCTAATGTATATATCTATGCTATGTTAATACATAAGCATTTGTAGCCCTGTCCACTTTTTAAAAGAGGGCATGGAAGCACAATTTCATTTGAATTTAAAGTGACAGTCACAAAATGCCAAAGCCTTAAAGGGGCAGTTTCGAAGAGTTTTTGTGGAGTTTTGGAGCTGAAACTTCACATACACACCCTAGGGACATTAGAAACTTAGGCCCAATCTCAATTCTACCCCTTAGCGCTTCCCCTTACCCCTTGTTTTACGCAATCATATGAATTGGGTGTCCCAATTCTCTTTTGCTTGAAGGCTAAGGAGAATGACTAGATGGCCCTTGAAACTGAGATTTTTCAGGACCACACTTAAAACCAAGGGGTAAGATTATTTCCCAGAATACACCAGCCGCAACAGCAGCATGGCTGCACACAGAAGTCATGAGATGCACGAATTAGTATTTTTTGTCATTATTATGAATTTTTACAACAAACAATCAAATGTTTTAATACATTCATAACCGCATTCATGTTTTAATGTCATGCTTTAAAAAAATGCTAAAATAAAAAACTATCTAAAATCCCTAATAATAACCACTCAACCACTCAATGACACTTGAATACCCTGTCAGTAAAGTAGTGGCTGGGGAAATTTTACAGTCTCTGGTATGATGTTGTTTTCGTGTGTTTACATGGATAAATATGGCCATGCTTAATGCACAGTACAGTTTTGAGCTTGCCACTTTATATCTTCATGATAACATACCATATGCCTTCAGCAATTTCTTGAAGATGAATACCAAAAATTAACACAACTGGAATCTTTATAGCAGTCGCTATTGTCGATCTCAATTGAAGCAAGAGAATATGATGACAAATTATGACGTATGCAGGTTTTGTAGTGGTGTCCTATTTCTTAGCAATGAAAATTTGAAGGGGAAAGGGTACAAAATAGACTGGGGATCGGGCCTTATTTTACGTCTTGTAATACGGCACATAACAAGTCCCCTTTACCGAAAACAGCTTTTTTTGGTCCTTTGTAAATGAACAGTAAATCAATTCGAAAATACCATGTTTTTAAAAAGCTTTTCCACAAACTAAGACTACTTAAATATAAGAAGCCTTTTTATATAAATATTTTTATTTCTGACATATTGTATGTGCATGAAGGGTGAGTGCCTTCTAAAGTATTACCTCCTTATAGGCTACAACAGATTCAAAGTCTCTAAGTAACTAAAACAGTGCCATCTTTTGGTTTATTAAAGTTACAGCAGCCATAAAGCCAGAGCATCCATTCCACTTTTTCGACCCTGTGACACACTGCAGACTATGACATTCTGCAATATCAGCACTCGTACAGCCTCTTCATCCTTTTATATTACTCTGCCTACATAGAGTGACAGCAGATCAATAAATTCTCTACAGTTTGACAAATATTGCTGCTATTGGACAACATCATGTACTTTTGAGACTTTTTAGGCAAGAATGCAGTTGTTTAGGTTGCAACTATGCATTTTATTTATATGAATAGTGCCTATTTTAAATAATTGTGATTTCTGAGATACAGCACATTGGCGGCCATTAAGCCTGGTTTATATTTCTGCGTGCTGTTTTTGTTGCTCTGCAATAACACTTCCGAAACGCTAGCTGGCAGTGAGGCTTATATGTTCCTCTGTGTTGAGTTTCTTCGCTGGTGTTTTG